GAATTCATTGAGTGATATCTCAAACGTAGTACGTAGTATTCTACAATAAGCTGTCGTGGTTTGTGTCTAAACTGCCTGAAAAAGATTCTCAAACATGATGGTCTAATGTAGATCGTGTTTCAAAATAAGATCCGTGGTTAATGTGTGAACTACCTGAAAAAGATCTCCAGGAGTTTAGACACAAACCACGGCAGGGAGCAGCTTATTCTATATACTCCTATATGAACACAGCAGGGGGCACACACACCTTTTCTCCTTCAGTAAAAGTAGTTGGTTCACATTCACAGATACAGGTTCCGTTGCTCGTCTCATTTCTGGGAATATATCTTGCAAGCTGTGCATTACCATAGCACTCACACCTAAAGCAAATGTGTTCATCTCATCATCCCATATCAGATATTTATTACTCAAGTTACATGCATGCACGCGTAAAGTGCCCACTTTTTATTTTATTTAAAAAATTCATTAATAATTCACGAAGAAAATACAAAATAAATGAATGTTTAATCAATGTTTGTAAATTGGATAAAGATTTGTTCTGATTTACATAAACTTCAGCTTTGATTTTCTCGGCTTAGACAATGTTTATTTTTAAAATTACTTTGCCAATGAACTCATAAGATGCGTCGTTTTTTAAGTACGATAAAAGATTCGAATCCGATCTGTATCTGATATACAAACTCTCGCCTTCGGCTCGAGCTTGTATATCATATACAGATCAGCTGCTCATGTTTTATCGAACAGATAACAATTACTTGCCGAAGGCGAGGTGATTACAAGTCTATATTATAGGCCTGTAATCACCAATTAGCAAGTATAATTTCAGTATTGAAAATGTTTTGTTAACTACAAATACACGTTTGTATAAATAATTTACTTCCGATTTTTTCCAATTTTTTTTGGGAAAAGCAACAGTTACTTCTCAGAGCAGTCTGAACTGTAACTATTGCCTCAGAGTTACTGCTGAAGGAGCCAATCAGAATGCTCAAAGGCCATTTTTCAATACAGAAATTATATTAAAACTCAATAGTCAGGAATTCATAATAGAATAGAGACTTGTTCAGCCTTCCACTAAACCGATCCGCTGATCACAGGAACTTGGATAGTGAAACCCAGGCGCGGCTACCCACCTTCCAGCAACGACAAGCTTCGACAGACCAAAATATTTGCTGACTGAAGTTGGAAACAGCGTGTGGTTATAGAGATGAACGCGAACATTCGTAGCTCGGATGAAATCTAACAACTTCTGTGAGCAATAAAGGCTAGTGCAGCTTCCGCCATAAGGTCGAGATGGATTTTGTCTATCTGGAGTGAATGATATTCCACCTTCGTCGTATTTTGTGCTAGAAAAGTAAGAAAAATATTGCTGGCGTATGAGTACTGAAAGTCTAGAGTCTTTTTGATATAATTATTTATGAGAAAAACCCATGAACACTGCTTTATCGACGTAAAGTTGACTCTAACGGGATTTGACCTCGCGCATGTATTCAGCGAACCTGGCAGAAAAAAATAAGTCAATTCAAATCCAGAGAGTCAATAATACCAAGTCGTATAGTGTCGTGCTCCGAGACGCGGATTCAATCCTTGGTCGGACCTCTACTCAAGCTCTTAAAATAATTGAGGAGAAAGTGCTACCTTTACATCGACATTAGTAAATGGTTAGACTTTCGCGTCTTCTCGGATAAGGACGTTAAATCGTAGTGGGCAATACTATTGGGAAATGAACTCAAACCTCGCTTAAGTCAATTTTATGTTACTAACGCAGTGTTGAATTTTTCTCAGGAATATATCGTTTCATGTTTCCCCTTTACCTGTCCTGTTGTTGACAGTTGACTGAGTCAGGTTGACTTAAAGCACCATTATTTGCCATACCAAATGACTTCTGACAATCCACGGCATAATACTGCCAAGCTTCGTACGTTTCTCCGTAGTTCAAGGATCGCTCAATCAAAATTGCCGCAGGTATAGGGCCATAAAACTGACTGACAATGTGGAACATCTAGTAACGAAGTAATTCAAATGAAATTATATTACGAATCTAATGGAAAACTACATCTATACATTTTGCATGCAACAATTTCTAATTTACTTTCCTAGCTGTCTGTCTTGTGCATCACGGCGACAAACGTTTATAGAATTTTTATTTTTCACACCTATGGTCCGTGTGGGTTCCCAACCGCATGAAAAGAGAAATTTATTATAACTTAGTTCTGCACTTCACTTGGTGGAATTAATATTAGGATTACTTGGATTACTTACTCACTTGGATTATAAACCCTAACATCCTAAAATTTATTATAAGCCCAGATAAAATCCGCTTTGTTTGCAGAGTAAAGTTAGATAAAGTTACATCGTTCTTCAACATTTAAGCTTGATTTTCCAATTTTGTTCCGTTTCCAGAGGCTCAAAATTAAAACTGCGCGAAATATCGCGTTGAAGGACGCAAAATTAAAACAACGCAATTAAAACTTACTATAGTACAGTAACTATACAATTTTAATAGGGTATTGTAAAAAGCATTAATAATTCGTGAAGAAAACACACAATTATGTTGGTGTTCACACTACAACGAAAATGGTAAAATTATCGTATGACGATAACGATTTTTAACGCTTTTTAACATTTTTTTTTTAGTCGGACTATAACGATAAATGTTTGACCAATCAGCGCGCGAATACAAGTTATCGTATCGTATCGTTGTGGAGTGTGACCTGGCCTTTACATAACCGTTAATTTTCTCACCAAATATCATTCATTTATTGTCTTTATTTTCTCATCAAAACGTTTCACTCGTCTTCGGCTCGAGTTTGTATATATCAGATAAAGATCGGCTGTTCATGTTTTAACTAGTGCTTAAGAAATATCAAATGAATGACAAACCTGTATTTGTCCGTACATCAAATCAACGTCAATTGTGACTTGATCAACATCTTTAGACAACCAGTAACTCCAATTATCACCATCAGTTGCAAACTCCACGGGATGAGCTGTGTCTGCCAGCCTGGACGCCAAGTCACGCTCGGAATTGTCCCAGTTCTTAGCGCACTTTCGTCCTGGTAGCCTCACTGATATTTTAGGATGAGTGGGGGGACATCGACATTCTGATGCAATGTATGTTGTAGGAAACGCCCCTGTGTAAACTTCTGTAACTTCCCTGCGAGTTAAAAGATTGTCAACGTCATTTATAGACCTCTTTTCAAAATAATTTCTCACGTACGCAATGTGTACCTATTTTTATAATTGTGTATTTTTTAATACCTGTTAGTCAAAGCTTTATTGTAGAAAAATAAATCTTGCATGAGTCCACTGTACTGCTGGGAACCTAAAATATAGAAAAATTACTGTAAAAAAACCTGTCAGATAAAAATATTGCCTGCGCTCACTGAAACTTTTGTGCTTGTCAAGAGTGTTTAAGGTTTCAATTAGCTCAAGAAATCAGCCAGTGTGAATGGCTGAGCTAATTTAACCTGTCTAGTTTTCTCTATGTGTGCGGTAATAATATTCCAGTCAACTCTCACACATTCTCATCAATTTTGATCTGGTTTAAATTCTGATGAGAGTTGATCAGTTTTCTCTACATGTGCAGTAATATATCCTGTCAAAACTATTCAGACATTTCTCCTAATGTTTGAAATTTTGTGATGTCCAGTCGTGATATTCACAGTTTGGTATCCAAGACCAAATTTTAGTATCCTGTGGGTATCGGGACACTACAAATTCCAAACCCTGAATGAAATATCTATTTTACCGTCGATTGCAACTAAGCAGAAACATGTCATGACAAAACGCGTCCAATTGGCTTTCAAACATGATTTGTTTAGACTTCAAACATCACATGATTTTACTGCAAACAATTACATGTCAACTGTCAATATTCCAAATTTAGAAACACATTCATACTTGGCAGGGATTAGCTTGCAAACACTAAATCCGTGATTATATTTGTCTGAATTAAATTTGACATATGAAACAAGCCTTAGTGAAGTTCTAACATACTGTAAATTTGTGAGTTTTGCATTTATAGTGGACAAATTCAGTATTGTTTGCAGTGTTTGTACTAACTTTGTTACGTTTTTGCAGGAAAAATAATTGTAAAACGTCAAATGTTTCCAGCAAAATCATGTAAAGTTTGAAGTCCAAACATGTTATGTTTCATATCCAATTAGATCGCGTTTTCCCATGACGTGTTTCTGCTTAGTTGCAATCGACGGTAAATACCAGAAAACATTTGGCCAACTCTTGCTCTGCCACGGTCGTCTGCGATGGTGTTCTTTAACAAAACATCTGTCCCAACATATGCACCATCCAGGAAATACGACAACTCTGTGTCTACCACCATGACACAGATAAAATGCCATCCATCAGGATCTGCTGGGTATTGACTGGCTAAAGGAGTCACTCTGATATTCTCTGTACTGTTTGAGCCCACTGAAGTATAGTAAAGAGTAACGCTGAAGTCTTCCAGCACAATGCCATAAATTACTGATAATGTAGTAGGAGGTGATTTTGTGAATATTGTGCTGAAATATTTCAAGATGAATAAAATAAGTTAGAAAGAATGACCTAATTACTTGGAATATCAATTGAACAGAGGCGTAACTAGAGCGTTAATTGGGGGGGGGGGTGTATATTCATTTATTTTTCACCCTGCTCGGTTTCCTTTGTTCTTGTCGGGGAATATATTCAATATTCCCCTCTAATCAATTTCCGTTTAATAATCCCCTCTAATAATCACCTGCAATTAATAATCCCCTCTAATATTCACCTGCAATTAATAATCCCCTCTAATATTCACCTGCAATGTCTTTGCAGCACAAAAAATGAGAAAAAACAACATCGCGATGGCAATATGGCATTAAGAATTATTTCTTATCTGACTCATTAACGCGACCTCGCAGTGTGAAAAATAAGTACGTTATTTTGAGGCACCTCGGGGATATGTGTTTATTCACCTCGGCGCTGCGCGCCTCAGTGAATAAATCACATATCCCCTCGTTGCCTCAAAATAACCTATACTTATTTTTCACCCTGCTCGGTTTCCTTTGTTCTTATCGGGGAATATATTCAATATTCCACTCTAATCAATTTCCGTTTAATAATCCCCTCTAATATTCACCTGCAATTAATAATCCCCTCTAATATTCACCTGCAATGTCTTTGCAGCACAAAAATGAGAAAAAAACAACATAACGAAGGCAATATGGCATTAAGAATTATTCTATTCTGTCTCATGAACGCAACCTCGCAATGTGAAAAATAAGTACGTTATTTTGAGGCACCTCGGGGATATGTGATTATTCACCTCGGCGCTGCGCGCCTCGGTGAATAAATCACATATCCCCTCGTTGCCTCAAAATAACCTATACATATTTGTATTCTGCCCGACGAATTTCTTTTGAATTTCTTTGTTTTTAAGTTCATTTCAAAAGAAATTAGTCGGGCAGAACACGAATATATGAATATACACACCCCAATTAACAATCTAGTTACGCCACTGCAATTGAAAGTGCTTTCTAAAAATGTTTCATCCTTCAACTGTATGAATAGTGTTCATTAATTGTTATGCCTGGTTTACATTATCAAAGTTTCTGTGATCACAGTAGGAATTTTACATAGGTCAGGGTGTCCACCCTTTGGCGAAGGTGAAATTCAAGGACTTTTCCAGGACTTTCAAAACCCTTTTTCAGTAAATTCAAGGACCTACAACTGGGAAAAATTTTTGAAAATAATTCACTTTATTCAGTAATTTTAATCAAAATCACGAATGTTGGCACAGCTGGAGGTTAAGGAAAATAATTCCAGGACTTTAATTAAAGGACTTCTACTGATTTTCAAGGACTAAATCCAGTCCTGAAATTTTTATGTCCAATTCAAGGACTTTCCAGGATTTTCAAGGCCTGTTGACACCCTGATAGGTATAAATTCTAAGTTTTGAAGGATTTGTAAGAAATGTTTGAGGGAATTAAACTCCCTCAAATATTACTTACAAATCCTTCAAAACTTAGAATTTACCTATGCAAAATTCCTACTGTGATCACAGAAACTTTAATAGAGTAAACCAGGTTTAATTGTTACATTAATTAACTTGTAACATTAGCAGTATAAATTTCATTCTAATTGTAATTAATAAATTCCACTATACTATGATCTGTTAAAACTATTTCTACTATAACGTACCCTTGGTTTCCCGAGGTCTGGTTCACCCATACACAAATGGTGAAACCTTTGGTTTTGTGGTCAACTGAGGGTAACCTGCGCACTTCGATATACGAGCCTCTCTGTCCATTAAAACCTAAAGAATTCCCAGTAGTTCCTGGCCTAGGTTGCCCATCATATATGTCCATCTTTATGCCAGCAGCCAAGTTGCGAGCATTCGGTAAAGCGTCTGAGCAAGTGGGACAACATGCGTATTTGCAAACCTTTTCTGTGCAACTGGGCCGACTGAGTGTCTTTGCGTCGCAATAGTTCGTTTCAGTTTCCCCACAAGTTGACGAGGCTTTTATTGAACTTTTTTCAGCGAAGTCTCTTAGCTTGGGAAAGTATCTAGCTTCACAAAATGCTAGAAAACACGCGCTGAGAACCACAAGGAAATGAGCAGTATGTCCCATATTTGAATTGTCAGCAAATGTCCTTGTTTTGTTCGCGTTTAGTTGAAAATACACAAAATTCGTACTGTATTTCAAACCTACATTACATCCTTTAAAAATCAACGTTTATTTCTTTCAAATAAAAGCAACAAGGTTTAAATTTCTCCATCGGAATGCGTTTGAATAACGATTTATTTGATTTGATGTAAACTCCTTCGAGATCTTGACGCTGTGAATATAAACTAAGTAGTACAAACCTCGCATTATGATTGGCTGAGAGCGAGTTAAGTACCACCCCTTGGTTACCAAATGGTAGATTTCAAAATATCCCAAAATATTTGTTTATGTCATTGGTTTACGCTCGTTAGTGACCGGTGATTATTTATGGTGGGGGGTGGCACCTACGAGAAAAGGGTTGGGTAAACAAAATTTTGAGTAAAAGGTTGGGTAAATGAAAAACAAAACAACTCAAGGGTTGGGTAATAAAAATTTATTGTCATTTCCAAAGTATGACTCATTCAAATATTGTAAAAGCAATGTCAACAGCCATATGTAATGTCAATACAGTATGTGAATTAATCAGAGTTATCTTGATCATTTTCCAATTTGTCACGAGGCAAATGTTGTCTCCAAAGAAAGTACATGTGCAGACAATATGAAACTTTAGACTGCAGAAAATTACACAATTACACAAGCAGTTAATTAACAAATTCATATCACTGAATTGAAGTGGTAAAGGATATGTGGGACAAACTGAATGGTATCCTTTTATAATTTTTTCGGCCAGGGGTGGGTTTTTTTTCTTAATATTTGAGGTTGGTTAAAAAAATAATTTTGACTTTTCTTATGGTTGGGTCAGCAAAATTTTTACCAAGAATAACATTTCTCTTTTGTGCTACCCACGCCAAATAAATGATGACTGGTCCTCGTTAATAATTCATTAATTAACGATTGAAAAGAATATATCCCTTGTGGAAGCATGCATGTTACAAATTGAATAACTTTTTCTCAAAACATGGCGGTTCACGGGAGTGAAAGTGAAGTATTATTAAACGAAACTTTAACAGCTCTTCAGACTACCTCAAAAGGTCGACTAAGCTATGATACAGATTGGAAAATAAATGCTGAGTTTTCAAACCAACTTTCTTGTTCGTTCGAGTCATTTTTGAATGAGTCTTGGGACTCTCTTGGGGGTATAAACACGAGCTTACTTGGTTTGGAGGAGAATAACAGCGATACAAGCTCTGAAAATGAAGCTGAATCGAGCTTAATGACAGAATTGAATGATACTGCTAAGGAACCAAACAATGCTGTAGGGATCTCGGTAAATTTTGAAAGCGAAAATGAACATAGCATCAAGCAGTATAACGATGATTGTCGCGGAAATGCGGAACAACGGAAAGCAGAGCAGGCGCGTACACTCAAAAGACGGATGAAAAATTTGAAGATTGAATGTGAGCAAACACTAAGGAATAAAGAAGAAAATTTGGCTGAAAAGAAACGACAATTTGAAATTGAAATTAAAGAATTGCAACGGCAAGATGCAGAAGAGTTACGGAGGAGAAAAGTGGAACTTTATAAAGAGGCCATGGCATATAAACAAAGACTTGATGAAATATTCACAAGGTCACTGACAGAGGAAAGTCTCGTCGCCAGAGAGAGGGAGCAACAAATAGCTGTGCTTGAAAACTTAAAGAAAAATGTCACTTTGCTTTACCAACAAGTTTTAAGAAACATTGAACTTATTCAACAGAAATTTGCCAATTCTAAGCACATGTCATTTGTTGACGCACAAGTTGCTGAAGATATTGCGACTGTGTTAGACAGAATTCCACTGAAAGCTGAAGCCGAACTCTCGAAATGTGAAGCATCTCACGATATATCTGATGTGGAAGACCATCTAGAATTTATGAGAAAGTTGATTCAAGCAACATTGTCTATTGATAATAAAGTAGGACATATTTTAAAGTTAGCACAAGAGAAGGCAATGGCTGCCGCAAAGAAAAGAGAATCAGAAGAAGCAGAACGAATTAAGTTTGAGGAAGCAAAACAACAAGAGCAAGTGAAACAACAACAGGAGCAAGCGAAGAAACTGGAGGCCAATAAAAAGCTATCTGAGAAACTTTCTGTACCAAAAAATGAAGAAAGGTTACCTATAGCAACTCCACAAACAAGCAAGAAAGAAAGCAAGACAACAACGGCACAAAAATTTATAGAATATATTTCTGACAAAGCTCTAATAGAGTACATGGAATTACAAGAACATTTGAACACAGTACAGGCATCATTTAAAGGCTTTATTTCAGATTCAAAATATACAAAATATAAATTTGATTTGCAAAAAGCTGTCAATATCCCCATCAATGCGCTGTCAGCTCATTCACCAAGCCAACTGAATGATAAAATACATCGCCTTGTCTCTTTGTTGAGTGGAAATAATGTTGAAGTTGGAGGAAGAAGAGTTAACTGCAAGACCCATCCAAGTGCCATGGTAAGATACGGTGCATCTTTCAACTGCTGGCTTTCAATGAAGCCTGCCGCACACAAGAGAAACTCACTGAACTAACCACCTCGCATGGCGACTAGCTCAGCATGTTTCTCTCGTGTGTGGATTAGATAGTTTTCATGAGGATTTAACCCATTGAGCTGCAGAGCTTCCCCATTGACAATTAAAATTGTTTGGCGTTACACGAGTAAAAAACATAAGTAGGGTACATTACTGCTCAATGGGTTAACTAGAGACAGCAGAATTATTGGTTAACCCATTAAGCTGCAGAGCTTCCCCATTGATGAGTAAAATCATCTGGTGTTAGACAAGCAAAAAAAAATAAGTAGGGTGCATTGCAGCTTAATGGGTTAACCTCTCAAGGAAAATATCTATTGTGTTTGATGTTTTTCACTTCGCCAGGAAAAAATTTCAAAGTCTGGGAATTTTGCAAGCTTAGTGCTGAGCTACTTGAATAACTAGCCAATGAGAACCCATAGTTTTTTCATGTGACTTTGGTCAAAATGGCGACAATGGAGGGAAGTGCAAACAATCTTATGAACAATGTTGCTGATCAGAGTAGTTTTCCCAACATGTGCGGTGAAAATGCATAGCTGAGCTAACTGCCACAAGAGGTGGTTAGCTGAGCAAGATTCTCTCATGTGCAGCAGGCTTCAGCATTATCAAGCACCAGATGGCACCTGATCAACTTCACAAATGTTGATAATTTAGGTTTGCAAGAAAATTAAACTAAATTTCTCAATTCTACCAAACAGCTACTACATATAATGAGAACATTATTTTCTCACTGTGGTAGCTGCAGATGTTGACACAATCTGGTGCACAATAGTGGTTAGTGAATCTTGTATTGGGCTTAATCCAGATGAATTATTGTTTATGAATTCATTTTGTGTTGCAGGTATTTTGCAAAGATCTGGTGGCAAAAAAGCTGGTTATGCAAGGAGCCCAACAAGTGTCGTCCAACCCTCAATCTGCCTTTCTTTATGCCGCTGTTATTGTTGGAATATGGACAGCGTTTCCAGACGTCGGCAAACTCATTCTTGCCCATTTCCACCGAAGCTACCCGTACCTCGTACCTTACTACATCCCGCAAGTTGAGGGCCAATCAAACAATGATTACCACAAGGCATTAGGTTACTCTGTTAACAATGATAAAATTGAAGATGAGAATCATTTCTTGAAGAAATTTTCAGGGACAGTTCAACTTTATGCTGCGGTTGTATCGTCAAAAGGTGCAGCCACGCCAGACCACCCTCATGGCATCGACAAAGGTTGGACTTGGCTGGCCCGAACCCTCAACCTTAAACCACACCCAAGCGTGACGGCGACAATGCTGTTTGAATTTATCAAAGTTGCAGGTCACCTCCTGATGGAAAGATACCGTAAACAATTTCAAAAATTACTCCTAATGCTATACAAAGATTTTATCCCAGCCATGGACAAGGTGACACCACCAGAGAAGCAAGGACCTATGCAGAGATTTAAGGATTTCTTGGACGAATGTGTTAAGACACAAAAAATTCCTATGCCTAAAGGATACCTTACTGAACGATGGTGGCACAGTGGACACTTTTAGAAATGTTTGTCTTATGCCTGGTTTAGGGATTGACCAATAATCAGAATCGGGCCAATCTTTGACTTATCTGTATTTTCTGATTGTGTAAACTGATTGTTGAGAAAAAACACACTTTAAAAATTATATACATTGCATGTTGATACACACTATATATACAAACACTCAACCTGAATCTGCTTTTTTATGAAAAAATGAAAATCAAATGTTTAATCTCTTGCATGCATGACAGTATATTACATGTTTGGTGCTCTGTGTTTGGTGTGGAGCAAACTGTTACCACAATGAAATAATATGTGAAGCATCAGCATGCCATTTATGAATGGTTTTAAACTTTGGTTGCAGTAACATTACATTGGAAATTATCAATTGGAATGAATGATGTCACCTTAATTTGGTCGACTGACATTATGACGTCACTAGGAAATCAGAATCGGGTAGATGGCACGATTGGTCAATTGCTAACCTAGTTAGTTGCTAGCTATATTATATTCTTATCATCATGTAGTGATCAATATTAATATCAAAATATATATCTAAATATAAAATGAAAAAATTGCTTTTAATGGACCAATTTGAACTCAACAAGTCTAGACAAAAATTTCATCACAGCTTGAAAGAGCATCACAAAATTAGTAATATTCCAAAGTTTCGTTGCAAAATGTTGTAAAATGCGGATAATATAGCATTGCGAAGCTTGCCGTTTTTCAGTCATTTTAGATTACAAACGGGAAACGGTTACCACTTCCGTGCGTAATACAAAATGACTGAAAATTACAAACTTCGCAGGGCTATATTCATAGGCGTACCGGGCGGGGCGGTAGCCCCCCCCCAGTTTTTTGGGCAGTCGGGCAATTCTCGATCAACAGTCGGGCAATTTTGGTTTTAAAAATAAATGGGACAAATTCTGTAAATTAAGTCAGAAATTTAGTTAATTTTGTGGTAAATTCTGTGTTTTTTGGAAAATTTGTGTGATGTTGCAAAAATTTTGGTATGTCCGGAAATTTTTTTTGACCTCTAAAATGGTACACTGACCGAAAATTTTTTGGCGACGGGGGGAGGGGGCGGGGGGCTCGGGCACAATCCCGAATAGTCGGGCAAATTTCTTTCCGCCCCCCTAATTTTTTCCTTCCGGTACGCCCATGGCTATATTATCCGCATTTTACAACATTTCGCAACGAAACTTTGGAATATTACTAATTTTGTGATGCTCTTTCAAGCTGTGATGAAATTGTTGTCTAGACTTGTTGAGTTCAAAATTTTGGTTAATTGGGGATTGGTCCATTCTTTCAGTTAGTTCAGGAAAGTAGGAAATATGTTAAATACGGAAAATTTTTTTGCCCCAGCCACGCCCGTCCTGTCGCCAACATTTCCGGGAAAAATTTTCTGTTGGACGATTTATGGAAATTAGCCCCCCCCCCCCAAAAAAAAAATAGAGAGAGCACACGGTGGTCGGTTGCTATGCATTTTGCTCCCGGAAGCGCGGGCTTCGTTTTTTCCAGCGGTGTTAGTGTGAATGGGAAATGGCGTCGTTTTACTTTATAATAATCTGAAGGGCCATGCCTGTTTGGCTTAAAATTTCTTGCTGTTAGAACAAATTTATTGGGTATATTTTAACAGATTTATAAACTTCAATACTTAAATGGAACGATCGTGATAATTTTATTTTTAGCTGTCAAATAACAATCGGAACTATTAACTGCCTTCGAATAGCTCTAGCGTGGCCGCGATATTTAATTTGCTCCTTTACAGTTTATCTTTCATATTGCGGAACGCAAACCAATGTACACACTGTCCGTCTTTTCGCCTAAATTTGTGTTTCTTCATTAGTATATACAGGTAATTTTAGGGAAATTGTCTGACGCTACTAATACTGTGTAACTATATATCTTTAAAGTAATATACAGACAGAGAAACATTCCGACTGTTTTGGTTGGCGACAACAAATATTAGCTATAAGTTCACGCAAGAATTTGTTTGATGAATATCAGAATATGTTCTATTAAACGTTTTCATTTTATGTTTGTGTATGATGTATTTTTGAGATATATAAACACATACTTCCATTGTATCGATGACAAAATATATAGCAGATTTAGCTAGAGTGCAATCATACCTAGGTATACTAAATTTATATGAATTATACTGTACGAGTCCGCGTAACCACATAAAATAATATAATAGTAACATATATACTAGTGGTTTAAATTTCTTAATATACGCAGCTTTTCTTGAAACAGATTTCATGTCTTTGCGCACACTTTATTTGATCATTTAGTTACAATTCCAAGCGATTTTGCCGTGAGGAACATAATACATACATCTGCCACTATCAGATTACTGCGGTGGCCCAGAAGTGTCACAACACATTTCAAATTAAAAAACACCCCCCAAAGTCCACAACACATTTCCAAACTGGAAACACAATTCAATAATTGCTAAAAACACATTTCAATGTTCACAACACATTTGCAAACTAGAAACACAATTCGATAATTGTTCAAAACACATTTCAATATTCACAACACATTTGCAAACTAGAAATACAATTCAATAATTGTTCAAAACATATTTCAATATTCACAACGCATTTCACACTTGAAAACAAAACTATTGAAAACACATTCCAATATAATCACACAACAAAATCGAAATCGAAAAAACATTTCAAAATACTGGCAACACATGGAAACATCGGCGAACGCCCGTTACTGGTCGGGAAGGTTCGGCTACGCATGCGCAGAACAACCATTGTAAAGCCTGCAAAAAAGCCTCCTATTTACTCAATATCAGTGCTTCCATTTTCAAGGAAATTTCCTTTTCTAAGGAAATTCTAGTGTCGAAAAGGAAAATCCAAGGAAGAGAAAAAATCTAAGGAAATCTAAGGATTTTTTCCGAACAACTTAAATATTCATCCAAGTGCATTAGTGCAGACGAAAGTTTCACTATTTCTTGACTTTTTGAGTGAATTATCAATTGTGTTTAATTAAAAATCTGTTTTTAACTTTTCCTCGTGTTTCCGAAAACTTTCGAAAGTTTTTGAGCGATGGGATTTAGTAACTTTTGGCGCCAAACGCTGTGAATAATTAATTATTTATATCAATGGGAAGGTATATGTTGTAAAAGCATAACAAATATTTAATTTTAAACAGTGTAATAGCCTGTGGTTTTTTAGCTAGCAATCATCTTTGTTAATTGTGCTATTTTCTGCCTTTAACATTGATTAAATCCTTTGTATCGCTACAAAAGCACTGCAAACCGCCTAATGAAATTTCAAGGAATTTTCAAGGAAATTATGTATACAATCTAAGGAATTTAGGGAAATTTTGATGATAAAAATGAGAAATTTTGATTTTTAAAATGGAAGCACTGCTCAATATAGGCTGTGGGCCGTTGTGCGAAAAAGTGCTTAGAAATGCAATTTCGTGGCAACCCCCTGGGGAATAGATTTTCTGTGGTTCAATGCATAGTACCATCAGACCTGCCAACCCTTGAGTAGCAGAAATAGTGAGTTGCTATCTAAAAAGTCGTGAGATTGACTGAAAAATCAGGTTTGCTCATTAATATGACCAGGGCTAACTTTAACAACACTAGAAAATAATCAATAGATATTCAATCTTAGGATAGTATGCATTTTGTAAATGTAACCGTAATGCAAGGCTTATATTAAAAATAGGTTGTTTTTTCTTTATGGCTTCAGTAGCTTCCAGTGTCAAGTCTCACGAAATAATAGCATATTTCTTTTTTCCACGGGTGTTTGGAATTACTTGTGGTTTTAGCAGAGATTTTGCCGAAAATCGTGAGATTTGGGGACTTAATGGTGAGATCGTGAGAAAGCATAAAAAATCGTAAGTCTCACGATTAAATCGTGAGACTTGGCAGGTTTGTACCATAGATGCTCAATTACCACAAAAAGTTCCCAAGCAAAAACTTGCCAAACACCGAGAAAATGTTTTGGTGTTTGGCAAGTTTTTTTGCTTGGGAACTTTTTGTGGTAGTCGAGTATCCATGGTACTATGCATTGAATCACAGAAAATCTATTCCCCAAGGGGTTGCAACGAAGTGAAATAATTTTGGCCCACGGCCTATTAAAATCTCCGAAAGTCATAAGTTTTGTTATAAATGCGGCAATCCATCGCCTGGCAATTCCAAAGCCACAGTCTTCGGCTAGCGATGGCAAATTAAAGTCCAAAGGCACAGGTTCAACGCCAACATTTGAGGCATTTCAAGCGACAAAGAGGAAAGAAAGGACATCTAATTTTAGACCGAAAGGAAATACGGTGTACTGTTACTGGGTATATACTATTTCGCTGACCTCAGAATGACATTTCGTCAAAACTTTTTTCTTCAAGATTAGTTTAGAGACAAACTTGGAGTAGGGTTAGGTTAGGGTTAGGGTTGGGATTAGGATTAGGGGCTAGAGTTGGTGTTTGGAATAGGGTTAGTGTTAGTAAAACCGTTGTTTTGTTACGTTTTGTCACTCTGAGGCTAGCGAAATAACCTCTTCCACTGTACTGGTGTATTGATCGCCGATGTTTCCATGCTAGTATTTTGAAATGTTTTTTCGATTTCGATTTTTGTTGTGTGATTATATTGGAATGTGTTTTCAATAGTTTTGTTTTCAAGTGTGAAATGTGTTGTGAATATTGAAATGTGTTTTGAACAATTATTGAATTGTGTTTCTAGTTTGCAAATGTGTTGTGAATATTGAAATGTGTTTTGAACAATTATCGAATTGTGTTTCCAGTTTGGAAATGTGTTGTGGACTTTGGG